TCTATCTATATCTATATATATATATATATATATATATATATATATTATTACTATTATTTTTATTTTTTATAACCCAGTTATTACGTAGTAGATATCTAACGATCGTAGTTCTTCGATAGGATTGCAGGTCATCACACTTTAATATCAAAATTAATTATTGGCGAAGATTAAATTTTTACTAAGTAAAGATTAAATTTTTACTAAGTTTAATTTTAAACTATGACTTTATGACGAATGGATGAAGATAATTATAAATTGTCAATTGGATGTTGGTCTTGGTAAACGAAGGTTGAACAAAATTTTGTGATTGTTAAACCTTGATGAGTTGTGATTTTACTACTTAAAGGAGAAATACAATTTTGCTGGTTTGGAATATATAAAATGATATACATATACAACATGGTTCATGATTAAGTAAATAAGTTTTTAGAAAGTGATTACCTTATTTTCTTTATTTATACAAATTTTACTTTTCCATATCTAGTCAAATCTGCTTATTTAGGTTTGGATTATTTACTAAACTATGAGCTCATCCTATTTTTCTTTCTTTACAAATTCTAAAGAAACATTTACATATGGGTAACTTAATGCTAGAAAATGATTGAGGAGTTCCATATAATGATAATTTGGAAGATTTCATTTTTTAGTTTGAGGCTTGAAATAATTTGGATGATTTATTTACTAATTAATTATTTTAATATTTATTCCGCTGCTCAGTTAAAATTTGTTTCATATTTTACATATTTATAAATTTTAATTATTAATATGTGGTACTATATTGTGTCAAATTTTGGATTTAGGGTGTTATAATTTAATGGTAACAGAGCAAGTACTCATTCTAACTCCATTTGGTACAATCTTGAATCTTGTGAGTCTTTAAATTGTGATTCGTGAATGCGTGATTTGTAATTTTTTATTTTAATAAGAACATTAAGGATTTGAATGGTAGAGTTGTCATAATCTACTTCCATATAGTAAAAGTATGTAATTGTTGAGATATGTTAGTTAAAAACAGAACGATTAACAGCAAATAAAAGAGAAATATTTGAGAGAAAATTCAAGAATATAATCCTTCATTCAAGACCAATTATTTATACAAAAGAAAAAAAACAATTTTTTTTTTTTTTACTTTTAATGCACAATATTTTGACTGTTATAACTGAAAAATTTAAAAATATTAGTTAAAATTTTAGAATATTTTATTTAAGCATTATTTGTTGGTCTTTTTTTAAAATACTTTATCTGTTGAAACTAATTTTAAAAAGATATTATCATCTGAAACTAAAATGTCAGTTGTTTAATAAATTTTATTGAAGAACTCAAGTCGTACACTATCAATAACTTGAGTTTAACTTTTTGAAAGACAGTAGTTTAAGTCTGTGAGGTTGTTGGGTAATGATGCTTGAGTCCGGAATGTTACATTTCCCATGTGCTCATCTATAATGCTGGCTTGCTTCCCATGGGGACATAAGTAAAGAAAAATTCCAACCAGGGAATCTTGTTGAGAATAGAAATTGAAAAATGTTGGGGATGAAAAATGTAATTCTCTTCTTCTCATTCCTAATTTTAATTTTTTTTTAATAAAAATTTAATTAACCGATATTTGTGCACTAATAACAATATAATTAATAATATTATAAACTCCTAATAAGACATACAAAATGTATAATTAGACTGAAAATTACACTATTATAAAAAGAAATAGAAGTATCAACTAATCAGTCAAAAGATAATTAGTCTTTTTACCATTAATTTAATTATTATAATTGATTAAAATGCAACTAACAACCCACATTTAGCATTTAATATCTTTGATTAAATTGTCCTTAAAAGAGTCTATAAGCACTGGATGTTGTTAATAAATCTTATATATATAGAGATCTATCTATGATCTCCTGCTAGACAATTAACCTTAATCATGTAAATTTGTATTAAATTTAAATTTTTTAAAAATAATTTATCATTATTTAAGAGATAAATATAAATTAAATATACTAAATAATAAACTTCACTAATAATATAATTTTATTCTAAATTTAAGTAAAAATAAATTCTATTTGAATTCAAACTAATAAATAAAATAATTTATAATTTCTACATTAATCTTCAATATTCTCTCTTAATGTAGAAATTATAATCACCAAATTTATTTTGTTGAAATATTTCTCTTCAATATTTCTTGTTTGATATTAATATTTTGAAGCATTTCTATTTAATTGTTGATGTATTTTTCACCACCATCCGATTATTGATACACTTCTTATCAATATTCAATTATTGATACGCTTCTTATCAAAATTCTTTAAAGCACTTCTCTCTAAATTTTAAAGAAGAGTTTCTTATTCTTCTTCTTCAACCATATTTGTTTGCTCATTCTTCAACCTGCATTTTTTTTTTTTTGTTTAAATTTTTTATTATAAAAATATTGTGATTTACCTTTATGTCAATAACTTTTTTTATTATAATTATTTTTTTTTTTGTGCATACTTCATATGGTGAAAATTTTTCATTTTTTATGTTAATGAAGACTTTTTTGACATCTTTGCAATGAAGACTCTCTCCATGGTTTTTCTTTTCTTCTTTTTCTTATTGTTCTTTTCTCTATATTATATTTTCACATACTCATAAACAGTAAACGTTTTGATACCACATGTTGAGATTTTTCTAAGTAAAAAAATCTTAAATTTTTATTTACTTCATTCTCTTATAAAATTAACAACTTCAAATATTTTTAAATAGATTTATATTAAATTTAAATTTTTAAAAAATAATTTACTATTATCTTAAAAATAAATATAAATCAAATCTTCTAAAAGATAAATTCTCACTAATAATATAAATTTTAAAAAATAAACATTTTAAATTTAATTAAAAATAAATTTTATTTAGATTCAAATTAATAAATAAAATAATTTTTATATTAATGTTCAATAATATATATATATATATATATATCTAGATTAATTATCCTTAGCTTTAAATGAGTGTATTCTCTCTGTTTATCTCATTGCATATTTTCCAATAGGTAAAAATGGGAAGAGCACCGTGTTGTTCCAAGGTGGGTTTTCACAGGGGCTTATGATCTGCTAGAGAAGGCGCATTGCTCTATATTAACACTCATGCTGAAGGCAATTGAGGTCTCTGGCCAAAAAGCTGGTTCATATGTACATACATACAGAATGTATACACATTACATAGACTTTCTTTGTTTAAATTTGTACTTGCCAAGTATTTTGAAGCGTTGGCTTAAATACGGGAAAAGGTTCCCTCACTTGACATGGATACATATATCAAGTGAGGAATATCACTCCGATGAAGATGACCTCATTTTCAGACTAAAGATTGATGGCTAGCATGCTGATGATTTTCACTTCTTAATTAAGTTATTAATTTTTTTCAAAAAGAATTAAGTTATTGATTATTTAAATTATAACAATATACTTCTAGTATCAGAACACAGATTTGATAATTCATATTATTATAAATCATCATTAGAGGAATCTAATTATCATTAACATTAAAATTTGTTAATTTACAAGAATTTATGTCGGCTGGTTTGATCCCACAAGTCAAAGGCTGGTTAAAGAATCAAGAATACAAAAACACTGGCATTTACAAGAGCCGACTGTAAGCAACATTTTATGTCGCGTTTTGCTTCAACATGGCCATAAATCACCCCAGAATGATCTTTTGGCCTGATGATGTAAGTCCGGATTCTTACTTTGTGTCACAACCACACGATCAAATGACCCTTCTGATCCATCCCGTTTTGTTGACCAACAAACATCCATCGCAACATGCCTGCCTCTCCTCATAGGTGGATAGATTATTCTTCCCCACCCTCCACCAAGATCTGCACGAACTGTTTCTCCTTCTGCTTCTTCTTCCTTCAATTCATCATCTTTATCAGTGTCATCAAGAGTGTCAGTTTCAGTAACCTCAGAGTCATATATAGCTGGATCCACTTCTTCATATGGTGCATCAACTGTCTGTAACTTCATTAGGTCCTCTGTGAAGATCAAAAGCTACTTATAAATTAATTACCATGGTTCAGAAATTTTTTAGTAGAAAATAATGTCAGTACATGCATCATATCTAAACATATGGACCACTGAGTTGTACCATAGTCGATTTCAAGATCTTCAGGACTTCTTTTTGCATGCTGCTCCTTCAAAGTCTCGAATGTCATCCCATCAAGAGGCCAAGGTTCCCTGTCAAAGATCACAAACATCATTCTGAAGATCACATACATCATTCTGAACATGATGCGGTTGAACGGAAAAATAAGGGAAGGAGTGAGGGGCATATTGTTGGAAAGGAGAAGAAAGAGAACAATGGAGAAAAATTACTCTTATAGTATTCATGGACAACAAAAACTATATGCAGCTTATTGTACAATGGCAAAGAGAAAAGACAAAAAAAAACAGTTACAATTAACATACTAATTTTATCTAATCTAATCACTAATTAATCTTAATACTCTCCCTCAAGATGGAGAGTACAAATTTATTTTATCCATCTTGTTCAATAAATTGTCGAACTATGTGAGATGAAGAGCTTTTATCATTAAATTTGTCAGTTGATTCCGAATGGATATATGCATTGTCTTCAAGGTACCATCTTGAATTCTTTCTCGGACAAAATGACAGTCAAATTCAATATGTTTTGTTCTCTCATGATATACAGGATTCGAAACAATGTGTAGAACTGCCTGATTATCACAGTAAAGCAATGCAGGACCTTAATGTTGCGCCTTTAAATCTCGCAACAAATTTAGAATCCACACTATTTCACATGTAGTATTGACCATGGAACGATACTCGGCTTCTGCAGATGACCGAGATACAACTTGCTGTTTCTTTGATTTCCATGAGACTAATGAAGATCCAAGAAAAACACAATTTACCAATTAGAGATCTTCTAGTGTCAAGACATGTGCCCCAATCAGCATCAGAAAAAGCCTTAATCTGAATGGTAGATGATGAAGGAAAGAAGAGACCCTGTCCAGGTGTTCTCTTGATGTACTGTAGAATCCGTAAAGCAGTCTGAAGGTGACTGGTCCTGGGAGCAGCTAAGAACTGACTCAGTCTATTGACAGAATAGCATATATCAAGACGA